GGAGCCAGCACTAACCAGGCTTGTTCTGTCAAGTGCTGTGGCTTGTCTCCATATCTCCCCAAAGCCTCATGCAGTCATAAGTGGGGCTTCTGAAACGAGCCTGGCTCTAGATGTGAAACTGGGATGAAGGGGGCCGGGGAGATGGCTCAGTGGAATAACTGCTTCCCTGGCAAGCGCAAGGGCCTGAGTTCAATCCCCGATTCCGCCAAAAAAAAAAAAAAAAAGAAACTGGGATTAAGGATGTGTGGTTACGGAATTAGTCTACAGATTAGTTTGATACAGTTCTGGGTGCGGATAATGGGAAGTCCCACCCTGGGGATGGGTGGCTCTGTGAAGAGAGGGTAGCCTGGAAGGGACCAGGCAGGGCCGGGCCGCTGCTGCCGCTCCCTCCGCACTTCACAGCCTGGCTGCCCTCCTGCCTTCTGCCCACCGTGAACTGCTTCTCCTCCACGATGCGCTTCAGCCATGCACCCTGCCTTGGAGCCAGCCAACTATGGACGAAATGTCTACAACATGTGAGCCAAAGAAAACTTTTTCTCCTTTAACTTTGGGTATCGGTTATAGTTCTCAGCGAAAAGAAAAGCAAACAAATCATCCAGAAAGCACTTCTGAGATGACGTTTTCAATGGGTGGTAAAAGTGATAAGTATGGAATTTACACTGCAAGAAAAAGTGGTGGGAGTTCCAGGGGCTTAAGGGGGACAAAGTTGGCAGAATCTCAAGTTGCAGGTACTTGAGGGAGGGGGTCGACTACTGAGAAGGGGGTTGAGCAAGGGGGATGCTTAAAATTGAGTTTATGAAGCTGTACAGCAATCATAGGGTTTAGGGAATGACAGCACTGATGGATTTCTGGGACAGGATGGGAAGGAAAACCAAGAAAGGAGAGATCACAATTTTTTTTAAGTGTGTGTGTGTGTGTGTGTGTGTGTGTGTGTGTGTAGGGTCACAGTATGCAGCATGAACTTGTAGCGCTCCTCCTGATTTCTGCCTCCCTAGTGCTGGGATTACAGGTGTGTGCCACCACATCCAGACTCTATCACCAGCTCAGCATTCCCAGGGGCAGGGCCGGAGGGACATGTGGTGCCAAGGATTGAACCCTGGCCCCTGTGCTTACCTAAGTAGCACTTAGTCTGCTGAGCTATACCACTGGCCCTGAGATCACAATTCTTTTTTTGTTTTTGTATTTCAGGGAAGGGTCCACAAGGTGTTCAGGGTCTCACTACTAGATTGGACTCAGTGATCCCCCTGTTTACAGCCTCCCAAGATCTGGGATTACAGGTGCGCGCCATCACACCCAGTCTCATTTGCCATCTCAGCACGTCCCAGGGGTGGGGCTGGCACAGCAGGCCTAGGGATTGAACCGCCTACACCTGTGCCTGCTTGTAGGCGCTTTAATCCTCTGAGCTATTTGGCCAACCCTTCACAATTCTTAATAGACCAGGAAAGAGATCTAGGGGCCAGGGAGATGGCTCAGTAGGATAAGTGCTTGACTGGCAAATGCAAGGATCTGAGTTCAATCCCCGGTTCCGCCAAAAACACAAAAAAACAAAACAAAAAGAAAGAAAGAAAGAAAGAAAGAAAGAAAGAAAGAAAGAAAGAAAGAGATCTGATCCCAAGACTAGTGGCTTAACAACTGTTTGGGGCACTAACATTAAGAGACGTGTTAGAGTTGAACCACTAAATAAGAAAATGCTGGAAGAACTGGGAAAAATTTTAACAGAATGTTGTATACTGAGTGTGCTGAACATGGTGTCAAGTAGTTTCTAGGTGTCTTTTCCTTCTTTTTCTCGCGTAAGTACCAGATTCTAAAGACCATTAGTAGCTCTGTTTTATAAAGGATCAGCAGGAGGGGCAGGGAGGTTAACTCATAAGCCCAAGAGCAAGACTGAACCCAAACTTCAGGCTCATCACCATCAATGTCTGTCTGCCTCAACAGGTGCAGTGGTTATGGTAGGGCAGGCAATATTATCAACTACGTTCTGGGAGGCCATTACTAGATCTATGGGATTAGAGGCTCTTGAGAACAGTATTGTACACAAGCTTAGCAATATCCAGGATCTCATCTAATCCTTATATTGATCCTGTGTATTAATTTCCTAGGATCATGGGGCCAGTAATTATCTGAGCCTGGATGTGAATGCTATCCTTTGACCAGAAATTCTATCTGTACACACTTTCCATGACGAGCAGACAATAATTTCCAGGGATGGAGCAGAGAAATTTTATGGTTTTGAAGAAATGTATTAATAAGGAAAACATTACTTTTTTTTAAAGCCCAAGTGAAAAATTCTCATAATTCCTATGTTTCTATGGGAACATTCATTAGCACAGAATGTAGCATTCTTCCTGTCATGGAATGTTCCCGCTATAAATTCATGCATTCAGTCCACAATACTTTTGAGCAAATAGCCTGTGCAGGTGCTATCTTAAGGGCAGATGATACAAGTAGGGAAAAAAAATCCCTATTCTAAGGGAATATTCGGTCCATCCCAGACCTTCAGTACATTAGATAATCTGCGGCCTTTTCACGCGTGCTGCAAGTTAAGGCATTGCATTTGACCTAGAATACACTCTATCCCTGAGGACCCAGTTACCTAAGAGATCCTACCCTTCCCTGGTGGTTTAGTGTGAAGCACTATGAGCGGTAGCACCCTGGAGATGGAATTTTATATTGGCGCTTTAGGGAAATGGAACCAAAGTGTTTTCCAAAGGATTTTCCTACTCCAAGAGGGCCCACTTGTAGAGCTGGATTTTAACACTTGCTTGGCATCTGAATGTTCAGGGCACAGTATCGTCCTCAGGCACCGCCTTGCTTCGACTTTTACTAGGAATACTAAATTTGAGCTTTCCTTATGATTGTTTATGGTCCCTTGGCTCCACAGTCTTCTTCCAGGATGTCAGGCAAAGGTCAAGGAGGGCAGAACCCTAGAGTCCAGTCAAGGAGGACAAAAGACAAAGTATCCAGAGAGTGGAGCACATTCCTTTTCGTCTGGATTGTTGATAATACTGCTGATGAGCTACACAGTACAAGATGTGTTCAGTGGCCATTTCTGCATGCAGAGAAATCTGTGCTATTTAAAAACACTAATTAAGAACGCCACTGAGCACGACCTCCTCCTCACCTGGAGCCTACTATGGGGGGCGGGGCTGAGCTGCGTGGTGCTGGCAGTACCTTCAGATCTGAGACAATGGGTGTTTTTGGTGGCCTTGCAAGGCACTTCCTTCTGGTTTGTTTTTCAAATTTTATTTTTATTAGTAAATGTTTGCAGGACATAATGATCACATTCATTGTGGGGAATTGGTTGATCTCAGTTCTTTTTAGGTTCCCCCTTCTCTCCCTCGCTCCCTCTACCTAAGTATGTGAGTCACAGTATAATTTAAGGATTATGTTCTCCCTCCCTTACGTTTGTAAAAGTTAAGTGAGACAAACCAAAGTCCAAGTTTCTTATTTTAAAAAGACGAAGACATTATATTTTATTGGGGTTTTAAGAGTCTTTTGAGAGTATGTATCTATCCACCTGTCTATCTCCTTATATCTTATTGGGGGACGCTGTAGGAACACAGATTAAACTGCATCATTTCAGGAGCTCTGGTCCACACAGCTTCAGGAGAAGGTAATCTCAGTTGTGCAGTAGGGGAGTTGGCGCTGGCACCCCGCTCCCCGACCAGCTGCCGGGGGCGGGGCAGACGCCCGGTTTCCTTAGCTGCCGGCCACACCCTTTGCTCAGCCTCGCAGCTTGGGGTGCGGCGCTTCGCACCTGCTTAGCGAGCGGCTTGGGCGGCACCGCCTCGAGGCCGAAGAGCACGCAGGGCGCGGGGCTGAGCCACAGGGAGCCTAGCGGTCCCGCCCCCCAGGCCGAGCCTCCCCGCCTGCCCGAACCCGCGGTCCGCGTGCTTGGGGGTCCCAGGGCCTTGCCGTCTCGTGGCCGCCCAAGCACGCCCTGGTTCTTCGCGCCGACCCCCACGCCCTCGCGGTCCGCGGCCTCCGCAGCCTGGCGCGCCCATGCTTGCGTGGGAAGGCAGGGCCCCAGCAGCAAGTCGCCCCGTCGCCTCACATGCGGCGCACCGCCGCACCCCCAGCCGTTCCCGGGGCGCTAGGCGGCACGAGGGCTGCGCCCGGGGGCCGCGCCACGCCC